TTAATGAATTCTGCGCTGGCAAAGCGCTTTTGTACACTCAGAAGAATGACCGGATTATATTCTCCAAATTGTGACACACTTTTCGTATGTAGCACTAATACGTCCTTTTATCGGGCCAAACTTAGTCGAGTTGGCTCACAAAAGGGCAAGAAGTGCAGCGCTATTTGGACAAACTCTCTCAGTTTTTCTGAGTACTCAGTGCACATGTACTAGTACCAGTATACACTTGTCAATTACAGAGCGTACGCACATGTGTACGCGTGTGCTGCACACTTGTTACGACTTCGGTGCACGTGCACTCACCGTTTGTACTGCCGCATTTATATACGTTAACTGCGAACCTATTTACTTACCATACAATTCCAACCCTTGAGAAATGAGCGAGATTTGTGAAAATAACGATACTTATGGCCCTTGTGAGTCAGCCTGACTCATTTTGCTCCGGCAGAAGAGCGTATCAGTGCTACGTCCGCTCTCTGCACGTGCTGTGATAAGAAAGTGTCATTATTACGATAATATGTCACATCCATTTTTCTAAGTACATCAACATGATTTCGTATTCGTAAATTTCTGTTATAATTTTATCAAATCATCAAAGGCTATCATTTGTCGTACATTCGTACGACAGAATAAATAGCGTAATGGCCGTCTCTTAGAAATACGGTGCCCTGCCTCTGTTATACTATCAGGGATACCTGCCTCATCATACATACTACATAAGATATTGAATGAAACATTGAAGTAGATCAATAAATTGAAAACACTGACAACTTGGAAGCCTCGGGAGTCAGGCAGTGTGGTTTAATGCCACACTATGACTGCAGTAGACATAACTGAGTCAGCGATTTTTAGCACAAAAGTAAACTTCTTGCTAGACTTGTTATATTAGATCATTACAAAATTCTTTTCGCAACTAATTAATGCTGCAAGAGTGGAATGTGTCAGTGACCCAAAATACGGTGCAATTGCACCTCCACATTAGTAGTTTTTGACTGATCTGTTAGATAATAGGGCTAGATTATTGAAAACCATTCTAAACGTTATGTTCTCAGATGCATAATTTGACGCAATCATGTTTTATTGCTTACTTTACTTGTTTCGCTGAGTTGACGTTGTAGTCACTCTGGAGGGCAATGTGCTAACAAATTTTGCCAATGGAAGCACGCCGCATCCTGTGTTATAACTTCGTGTCGTGATATGCCAGAACATTATTGAACATTATTACCTTTATTTATGCAGTACATTTTTGTTATCGCGTGGCAAAACGTTGTTTTCATGAGGCAATGCGTTGTTATTGCGAAACTTCTTCCAGTCATATTGCTCTATTTAATTTTCAGCACACGAAAGCTTTTTCTCAGCAATTTCTTACTAGGTAAAAATTCATATACGTTTTATATGCGATTTTCTCTCTCTCCGGCACGCGTAGGAGCAAAATATAAAAATTTACCTTCTTTTCTAGCGAAATTTTGCTGGTCGTGCAAGTCAAATTAAAAAATTTCGGTTAATTAAAACGTAGTCTTCGTTTTTATTTTATCCATTGTGCAGAATTCGTATCCCCGCTAAAATATGAAGCTCTCGCAAATTTTTGTACATGTATTCCCTCTGAGGTTGTTTTCGTGTTGACTTGGGGGTCTCCAAGGAGGCAATTTTTTCCATGGTCATGTCTATTAATAGGCGCCATCATCATTCACAGTCTCGCAGGTCGCTGCTTGTCTTCATTCAAACTTATCTGGTCTGCGCCAAGTTTCATCTTGCGTTGTAGTGCTGACTCGTCAGTTTCATTTTATTTTGTCGCCTACATTTAAGTATTGTTTTAGCATTGGTGCAAACTATGCACATTTTAGCGATTTGAATAAAAACAATTGAACCTAAATTCAGTGAGATTGTAGCGTTACTAAATTCTGTTATCTTTCAAGGATAAAATGTCAATAATTTTCCGTTATTTTGCGTTTCATTGTTCGTTAGTGCATGCTTGTGCTCATATTTTAACATGCAAGTTTCCTTCAGTCGAAAGAATTTATTCTTGTCTTGTTTAATAAAAGCTTTATTTGCCGGCAAGAGTTAATTTCAAAGTTGTGGGTGAAGAGCTGCATTTTTTTCGCCGCTTAGTTTTCACTCTTAACGAAACCTTGATACCACGTGTGATCGATCTGAGTTAGGCGTCGTAACCCGAGCTGCTCTAGGTGATTACTTGGGTGAAAATGACTGAGTTTCCTATTTATAGTGGGTGCGCATGATGGAAAAATGTCGGGAACGTACGCAGCAACAGTTCAACAGTTGCTGCGAGTAAGCTATAAATAGGATTTTGCTTAATATTGCTGCATTTTTTGTTAGAAATGAACGTGCCAATTTCTGTCTTTGATTAAGGAAATGTTTTAATCCTGTACTGTGGACCTACGTAAGATTATATTTTCTACTACTTTTATCGAGTTTTCAGACTTGCAACGATTTCGTTGTTGGAAAACGAAGATAAATATCTTCACACTTTTTTTCCTAACTTCCTTGAATTAGCACCTGATTTATATGTCTAATTTCTATCACCGAAAGATCAATACTAATTTTTATCACAGAAAGATCAGTACTAATTTTTATCATCGAAAGGTCAGTATACATCAATTTGATTGATTCTCATACACGTATAATTGTGACTTCAGTAAATGAATGACGTCAAACACGTCAGAGGCGGCGATCCATCGTGGCCTGGGACTGCTACGTCCGAAACGACGCTCTGTACGTCCTTTTCTACGACCGAAATATAACCCCTGACTACTGACGCTAAGAATGTGTGTGCCTGGTTTACTCCTGTATAGCTGTGTTTGATGGTGTGTGATTGATATACAATCGGGTGGCGCTTGTATCATAACACAGCAACGTATGAACCACCGCCTGGCCTCAGCAGTTTGGCATGCACGCATAAAAATGTATGAGTCATGCTGTCCAAATACTGACAGACAGACTGCACTGATACGCCCTGTAACCGGGCCAGACTGGTTGAGGATGACCCCCACAAAAAGGATAATTTCATCTCTATTTGGAGAGATGAACGCAACACTGATTTTTGTGAGTGTTGGTGCATGGTGCGCGTGTGTATAACTGACCCTGGTGGTTGCCGGCTGCCGTGTCTGGCGAGGTGCCCACGCCTGCATTCACTTCTTGCCTACATGAAGTGTCGTGTAGTGACCCTGTGCCAGGTGCCGCCACACTAACATGCATACAAACCTTTAGGCTAGCAGAAAACTTTCAATCTATCGCAAAATTTTAGTCTATAAAAACTTTCAATCTATCAGAAACCTTTATTCTATAAAAAAACTATCAATCTATCAAAAACTTTCAATCTATCAGAAACCTTTATTCTATAAAAAACTTTCGATCTATCACAAACCTTTATTCTATAAAAACTTTCAATCTATCAAAAACCTTCAATCTATCGGAAACCTTGACTCTATAAAGAACCTTCAATCTATCAGAAAACTTCAATCTCTCAGAAACCTTTAGTCTATCGCAGTTCATTATTCAAATCAGATCAAATATTGCAAGGGCAACACTGCACAGTGCCCAAGCGATACGGTAGACTAGATACAATTACCGCAGACTTAACGCGACGGATACTATGGATTCAACACTCTAATTACCTAAGAGTAAATACTAAAATTATCATAGAGTTACATAGATTCTATAGTCTTTTGAAGCGTCACTCTGATCAACATCGAAGCCTACGAAATCAGAAGTTTTACTACCAAGGTTATCCAAGCCTTTACTGCCAACGAAATCAGGAGCTTTACTACCAAGGCCATCCAAGCTTTTACTGCCAACGAAATCAAAAGCTTTACTACCAAGGCCATCCAAGCCTTTACTGCCAACGAAATCAGAAGCTTTACTACCAAGGTCATCCAAGCCTTTACTGCCAACAAAATCAGAAGCTTTACTACCAAGGTCATCCAAGCCTTTACTGCCAACGAAATCAGAAGCTTTACTACCAAGGCCATCCAAGCCTTTACTGCCAACGAAATCAGAAGCTTTACTACCAAGGTCATCTAAGCCTTTACTGTCGATGATATCCAAGCCAAGCCCTTAATAATCACGACATGAAATTACGACATGAAATTTCTCCCTGCTAATTTCAACCGTACATTTTTATTTAATTGCTGAATAGTTCATTTAGGTCGCCACTTCTTCCCTCCTACGATGGGAAATTTTCACACTATCGCTCTGCTCTCACTTTCCTGGTAACTCTTTCATCCTCGTGTCGTTGATAAACTGTTAGAAAATACCATTCTCTGTGTACAGCATTGAGAGAAATAGCTCCGTTTCTTAGTGCTACGCTCGCACCTTCTTGGAAAATGTGTTCTTTTTTACTTATAGCGGTAGCGTGCCTGCAGTCATTGTAAGTCAATATAATATTAGCCTGCCGTCGATCATTATCACGATTATTATCGTAGCCTGCAGTAATTATTACATCGTCTTGTGTTGCCGTGAATAATTAATAATGACAATACTTTCCAATGAAGCTTCTAGTCCTGATCTAATCTATTATCGATAAAAATTTGATTTAATAGCTATTAGGAATGTAACTCAAAGCTTGGGTAATCGTTTTCTGTAACAAAATCTGAGTCTGAATCCCCGTCTGTATATGCAGATACATTTACCGTCGTCAATGCTATTCCTACCTGAACGCCATATAATTTCTGGCATACACCATAAATAAACGTGAGTTGTAACACCGTTTCTGTGCAGATACATTTACAGTCATCAATGCTATTTGTACCTGAACGCCATATAATTACTGGCATACACCATCACTAAACTTGATTTGTAACGCCGTGTCTGTGCAGATACATTCACAGTCGTCCTGTGCTAGTATTCCTACCTGAATTCCAAATTACTGGCATACACCATCACTAAACTTAAGTTGTAACACCGTTTTACTGTGTATGCAGACGTGTGCATAAAACTTGAACTAAAACTAAACTTAAGTTGTAACACGGTTTCCGTGTGTGCAGGCGTGTACGTCGTACGTGAGCAGCGCGTCGTCAGTGAGCAGGAGGTGGCAGCGGCAGTTGCTGCACGAGCGTGAGCAGCGAGCGCGGCTCGAGGAGATGGTCGAGCAGCTGGCTCGCCAGCACTCCCATCTGGAGCAGGTGGCTAAAGAGCACCACAACCAGCAGGCTAACGCCAACGCTCATCACGGTAATTATACGTAATTATGATCTATATCAAGTAGTGTTCTTAGTTTCGGTATTTTAGGTTTCAACCATTAAACCCGCCAACGCCATCACGGGTAATCTTATAATTATAATCTATTTCAAGTAGTACCTATTATTAATTTCGGTATTTTAGGTTTCAACCATTAAATCCGCCTACGCCCATCACGGTAATCCCGTAATTATAATCTATTTCAAGTAGTACCTATTATTAATTTCAGTATTTTATGTTTCAACCATTAAACCCGCCTACGCCCATCACATGCAGGCGTGTACGTCGTACGTGAGCAGCGCGTCGTCAGTGAGCAGGAGGTGGCAGCGGCAGTTGCTGCACGAGCGTGAGCAGCGAGCGCGGCTCGAGGAGATGGTCGAGCAGCTGGCTCGCCAGCACTCCCATCTGGAGCAGGTGGCTAAGGAGCACCACAACCAGCAGGCTAACGCCAACGCTCATCACGGTAATTAATTAATTATGATCTATCTCAAGTAGTGTTCTTAATTTCGGTATTTTAGGTTTCAACCATTAAACCCGCCAACGCCATCACGGTAATTACTTAATTATGATCTACCTATCTCAAGTAGTGTTCTTAATTTCGGTATTTTAGGTTTCAACCATTAAATCCGCCAACGCTCATCACGGTAATTACATAATTATATTCTATCTTAAGTAGTGTTCTTAATTTCGGTATTTTAGGTTTCAACCAGTAAACCCGCCAACGGCATCACGGTCATCTTATAATTATAATCTATCTCAAGTAGTACCTATTATTAATTTCTGTATTTTAGGTTTCAACCATTAAATCCGCCTACGCTCATCACGGTAACCAGCTAATCTGATTTTATCTTGCTCAATATTTCAAATTTCAACGGGCAAGGCAATGCTGCTGCCTTCGCGGTAACCGGATAATAATATTATATATCACTGAATATTCTGAATCTCAACCTTGCAAGCAAACGCCAACGTTCATCACGCTAACCAGACTTATTGAATTCTATTTCACTTGATATTCTGTGTTTCGAAACTTTGAAATTCAATATTTAGAATTCTAATATATCATATTTCATTGAGCATGCAAACGCCGCTGTACGTCACAGTGAAATAGTTAATTAAATTCTATTTTACCAAATATTTCATATTTAATTTTAAATTTTATTTGTTGGTATGTTGGGCCTTACCCAAGAGGCATGTAATGTTTAAATAACATTGATTAAACACTGTTTCTGCTATTTAAACTCGCAATTTAATGAGTTTAAACTTCATTTGCTTGAAGGTTTATGTTTGTAAATAATACATGGTACCTATAATATTATCTCTCTTCTATAATATTATAGAGTATATTATAACATAATAATCCGTGTTATATTATAGAGTATATTATAACATAATAATGCGTGTTACGTATATTAACGAGTAAATTATAACATAATAATATGTTTTATATCATAGAGGGTATATTATAACATAATAATGCGTGTTATATTATAGAGTAAATTATAACATATTAATCCGTGTTATATTATAGAGTAAATTATAACATATTGATCCGTGTTATATTATAGAGTAAACTATAACATCATAATGCGTGGTATATTATAGAGTATATTATAACATAATAATCTGTGTTATATTATAGAGTAGGTATATTATAACATAATAATCCGTTTTATATTATAGAGTATATTATAACATAATAATCTGTGTTATATTATAGAGTATATTATAACATAATAATGCGTGGTATATGTATTATAGAGTATATTATAATAATGCATGGTATATTTGCAGGCGTGCACAGCGAGGATGAGGACGACCAGTTCCTTGACGCCGTCGAAGAGATCAGGGAAGAAATTCAACTTCCTGTACAATCTCAACACAAGCGGTCCATTTCTGACCTCTCACAGGTAATTCAACTTCCTGTACAATCTCAACACAAGCGACAATATTACCCAGTAACTGAAATACCTAAAATGCATTATCTATAATTAGATATAGGTACGTCTCATTGCATCGTTTTTGATACTGAATCAAATAATACAGGTAAAATATCCGTATAAGAGGTCGTGTCTAGCATGTTTGTGATATTTTAGACCTTTTTCGTATTTTAATTATGAGATATCCAAAAGTAATTAGAAGTTTCTATGAGTGTCTCATATCAGTCTATTTTCGCTTCATGCATGTTAGATATTCAATTTTACTCCTGGGCGTTGGCCTTATTTATTACTTATTAGCGCCTTATGAATGCCGAGTATATACCTATACGATGGATAGTGTTTGATCCGCATAAAGAGCAAATGTATATACACTGACAAGTGGTACTCATGATCGTCGAATGTTGTTTTGTGTAACAAGTGTGGGGCTGTGTTGGTGAATATTTTTATGCGTAACTAGTGTGTTGTAGAGGTGTAGCTGAATATTGTCATGTATAGCAATTCTGAGGGAGGGAGGTGTAGCTTCATTTGCGTCCTACGTTATGCCTGGGGCTGCGGTAGCGGGGCAACCTGCCTATCGACGGCTTGTGGATGGTGGGCGACGAAGGTGGCGCATCAGCTTGACCATGGACGAGGAGACCTTAAACTTGACATTAGGGCATGGAATGAATGTTGTCATATGATATTTGACGATATTTGTTTAAATAAATATTGTGGTTGATAACAAGTGGTGTGCGCAGGCAAGCGTCGAAGGCGGCGGTGGAGGTGGTGGCAGCGACTCAGTGTCGGGCGGCAGCGGCAGCAGCGGACGCGTGGAACAACAGAACACAGTACAAGTCATCCGACGTGTTGACAACACGGCTGACAGCAGCGTGAGTGACTGCCATGTGCATCATATCGCTGATAGCCTCGTGTTTGTCAATGTAGTATGTCGGATCTTGATGTAGTATAGGACCTGAGTATGTTGGGCTGGCTCGTGCCAGCTTACTATGTTGGGATATGTGTGTGTAATGACACGTAATATTTCGTTCTTATTGTGTAATGACAGTAATATTCCTTGCTTTCCTTATTACCTTGTTTGCAACTCTGTTTGCATGATGACACTTGATCCAAGATTATCGAAGTTTGTAATTAATCGTTTGTGGGATCATAGACATGTGTGATTCTCGCTCTCGGAGGAATGAGTGAGATTATGTCTAAGTAGTGATGTACTTTTTACCTTAGTATGGGTCATCTTCACCTAGTCAAAAGCGCGTTTAAGGTCTATATCCTCTGGCTGCTCGTACTGGTGGTAATAAACTGGGTCTCTATTTGGACAATATGATCCATTCCTTTTGGTGCCTGTAACGTGCCCTCAAAGATCGGTTGAACCAGGCGACACGACATTCGCCTCGAAGAATTATAATAATAATATTGATAATAATAATGATAGAGTGGGTCACTATATGGAAAATATGACACGTTAATTTCTATAAGTCTCCTCTTTGCTCGTACTTTTGGTAGGAAAGTGTGTCACCATTTGGACAATATGTCTCATTAATTTCGGCAAATGCATAGCTCTCATCCTCGCACAAGAGCGTATAAGCTCTTCGTCCTCTCTCTTCTTGTACCGTGGGTAAGAAAGTGCGTCAATATTTGGACAATATGAGTCATTAATTTCTGTGTCGCTCACGCAGCTGAGCGAGGACGTGACGAGCGTGGTCGGGTCCCAGGCGACGACGCCCACCATGGCGCCCGTAGCGCTGCCGGGAGCCTGTGCCGCCAAGAGCAACAGACCGCCCCGCCAGCGCCGGACTCGCGTGCCCGATAAGCCCAGTTACCCTCTTAACCTCTGGTCTATTATGAAGAACTGCATCGGCAAGGAGCTTACCAAGATACCCATGCCCGTGAGTTATGCCATTATTGATATCTCAATTCTAAATTAACATTAGCTGTACAATCCAAACAATATAAGATCACAAGAACAGTGCAAACAATTCAACAGTAGTTCCCTACCTCTGGTCCATCAAGGAAAGCTGTATCTCTGTGCGGCTACTTGAATTTGATAACAAGCATTAGTTAGCGTTCTCTTTCATAAGTACAACATCTCGCTGAGATGTTGTGCTTATATATGTTGGAACATCTCGCTTTTCACTATAAACTTTTTTTCTAAACTTTGAATATCAGTCTGGCCCGTTTTATATTTTTTAGAATTTTTTCAAGAAATAACTTTCTGAAATACCCTTCCTATAACTTTTTTATAACTTATTTTACTTGTCTTTGAAGGATGCAATTGAAAAGCATTTACTTTTGGTTAATTAGTGACGAACGATCAAGTGATAACGCGATGAAACTCAGTAGAGACCTCAGCTTGGGGCAATTCAGTCAAGTTATCCATAACGTTATTTCTCGCCACAACCTATAGGACAGCTCAACACTCCTGAAAGATTCTATTCAAATACCGTAGCTATTTATTTATATTTGAAAGCATCTTCTATTGAAATGTTTATCCCGGCAGGTGAACTTCAGCGAGCCTCTGTCGTTTTTGCAGCGACTGACGGAAGACTTTGAGTACAGCGATATACTCGACCGCGCCGCGCTGGTCAGTACTAATTCCTATTGGCATCTTGGGAGCAAATTAGTTATTTCCGATTCTACATTAAATTAACATATTTTCTTGCTTTAGAGGAAAGATTTCGAACTTTTACTTTTCTGCGAATTGTGTTGGTAATTATCATCGATTTGTGCATGATTTTGAATATAATAAATTAACCATTACAATATAAAATTTTTTGTTCTTTCGTAAAACAATTTTTTTAAAACACCGAAGAGCAATAGTATTGAATGCAAATATTAAAATCCAGGGTATTGTTCTAAAAATTTAGTGCAAGTAAGAATGTTCCCCACATTTGTATTATTGCTAGTCTAATGAATATGAAAATCATTTTTCAACCGGGAACGGTTGTACAATTTCTTACCCGACATACTATTGAAATTAGAAAAATATTCCATACTTTACTTGGATCATTTTTCATTCACATCAATTATGATATTCGTGGCAGTTTCCCTCTCACATCAATCATCATTGAGTAACGTTTTCTTCTGATAAAGATATAAATTGTTGTTGTTGTGGCAGTTGGAGGACTCGTGCGAGCAACTGTCGTGGGTGGCAGCGTTCACGGTATCAGCGTACGGCACGACAGCGATGCGCACGGCCAAGCCATTCAACCCGCTGCTGGGGGAGACCTACGAGTGTGATCGCACTGATGACTTCGGCTGGCGTGCGCTCAACGAACTAGTGAGTTATACTCTTGAATTCAACGCTTATTTATTATCAGAAGGTTATTGGATTCTCAGTTTCATGGAAACCAAGTCCTGCCGAAGACCTTGATTGTTTTATTGGTCTTTATGACCAATAAAACTGGGTCACGGTGACACAGTTTTATTGGTCACAAAGTGCAGTGGTATCATTCCCGGCTAAAGGAGGTATGTCAGTGCTACCTCCGCTCTCTGCTCGTACTATGGGTAAGAAAGTGTGCCGCTATTTAAACAATATGGGCCATTTTTTCTGGGTAAAAGTGTCAAGATGTTCTTGTTCAACTCCTATAACTGAATATTGTTTATCTTGGGATTGGGCTCTGCATTTGAGTACTTCGCGGTGCAAGCGTTTCAAATGATTCCTAAAAGTTGATTACATATATTTGTTCTATCAATTAGCAATAGCGAAGTTCTATCAATTTTATTCTCCGCGATAGGAACAAAAAGATGTGTATCTTTTAAAATATGCATTTTTGTTAAGCGCTTATATGCTTAAAAATTCTCTTTACACCTCTTGAGCAATGCGCTTATTAAGCTGGGCTCCCCTGCATACCCGGAAGGTTTTGATGCAAATAATATAATATAAATTCATAGCGCATGGCTCACACGTAATGTAGAATTGGTAATCCTATTTTGAGTATAATTTCGGATCTCCTGGTAATATTTTATTTGCCTCGTTTTTTCTTTATTACTAGTAAACTTGACAATAGACTAGCGATGGTTGGATCTCAATCGTTTTTAGATATTGTTATTTCTATAATAGTAGTAATAATAATATAATATTTAAATCCACCGATCTAATTACTATTAGGAAAAAAAACTTCTTGTAGTTAACGGAGTAGAATATCATACAAGATGCTACAGTGTTACAGTAACTAATTAATGCAATCTAACCTATTTTTTCATCGATCTATTTAGTGGCCACTTTTTAAGTTACCTAAAGCTTGGCAGGCTCCCAGTTATGGTACTGAGGTATCTCGTAGTCATGGTACTGGTGTTGGTAACTTTGCTCAGATTGTTGCGGAGTGTCTTGACTAAGAGATGTTCGCTCTTGTTCTGCATGTTTCTGGTCCTGATTTGTTTGTTGGTTGTCTTCTCCTTGATGGGAGTTACTTGAAAGCGATATCTGTGTTGGATCCTTGGCTCTGGCTCGGGGAAAATTCGGTCGGTCGGAGAGTTTGATGGCCTTCTTCTTTTTCTCTTCATTCCCATCAAGTACCGAATCTTTCATGTTCGTTTCCATGACATTTGATGCACCGGTATCTGGAATTTTGGACGTTAGTTGTGTGTGCTCGTTATTGCCGTTTTCAAATTTCAAACCCTCAGTATTTCCTCGAATGTTCGTACGGAATTTGTTTCTCTGTCTCATGGAGTTGAAGTGATCGGCAATGCTGCGTAATGGCTGCTCAAATACTGATTCTTTTTCCACCTTTTCGCCCGCCTGTACTTCTTTGGGTATGACGTGGTGGGGCGTTTCTGTTGTTGCTGGCTGTTCTTGTTGCGAGCGAGCTGCTGTTGAAAGTTTGGCTATCCATTTGCTTCGCACTGAACGCTCCGAACCTTCGTCTTCTTGTTCCGATTTCTCACTTGGTTTCACCGCATGTGCCGAAACGGGTCTCGACCTGAACGATGCAAGGCGACTTCTAATTCTGTCGAAGAAACTTTGTGGTTTTGTTTCAAGGCCTCCAGGAAATGGTTCTGATTCTTGTTCTTTTGGATCTTGGCTCACAAGATCACTTGCACCAGGAGTTTTGTTTTGATCAGCCGTTATGCCGCTGGTATCATCGACATGGGAACTTTCTTTTGTAGCTTCTACTTTGACTGATGGAGTAGTGTCTTCTCTCTGCCTTGATGCTAAGCGCGAAGGTAGTCGTGATAACTGCTGGATTCTTTTTCGTCCTATGGGCTGGACAGTAATGGGGAAGAATTTAGTTTCGGGAGTGATACCATCTTTGTCTCGAAACTCTTGTTGGACAGTAGATTCGCTCGTGATATCGGTTTGAGCAGCACTTCCGCTTTGATTGTTGTTTGATTTGTTTGTTGTGCTATTCTCGCGAATAAATCCTGAAAACAGGGAGACTGAGACAGATTGAGGAGAGTTTCCTTCTGTTATGTTTCCGACTATGTTTCGGATGTGAGACGGTTTTGGTCTTTTTGCTAACCGGTTCTGTTGTCTAGTCCTTTTTTGTTCAATTGCATGATCACGATTGAACTTAACGATGTTCGGAAGCTGCTCAGTTTCGATTGTTTGTGATTCGGCAACTTCGTATCGGTCTTCCGAATCGACGAATCGATCTAAGTTTTCTGTTTTCTCTTTGTTTTTTAGAGGTGCAGTTAATTCTTTTTTTGTTGAGAACGGTCCACTTTCCTTAACGTCGTCTATGGATTTTACTTTGGTTTCGTCCATTATTTTCTTCTTTTCTGTAAACGTATATCTTTCCTTTGCACTTGGCGTCAAACCTGTGAATTGAGACCTCTGTTCTGACTGATCTTCTTTCAGCGGTGAGAATTTTCTCGAAAGTGATTCCTGCGTTAGAGGTCGATCTTTGGGTTTGATCGTTGGTCGTGGCGGCGTTGTATAGTACGAACGCGGGAAGCTGCGTTTTGGCTTCGTCGTAGAAGTTGTCGTGGTTACCTGCACATCTTCGGGCATTTTCTTCTTTCGATCATGAAAACCTGGAATAAATATATCATTCCGAGTTCTGGATTTTGCACTCCGAGTGACCGGTGGTTGGCTCGTATATGTGGCGGCTGTTGTTCTCATCCAAGCATCGGAGAGTTGGGTGGTAGGGTTTTCCGTTGTAGGGTTGCTTGACCCCGTGGAAGTTATTTTTTCCGTTACAACCTGAGCCTGTGTGGTGATTACCGGTGGTGGTGTACTAGACGTTGTTAGTAGCGATGAGACCATAGCATTCTTTGATTCCTGATGGTCTGATCGAGTTGATTCGTCTTTCAGGAATATGTGTTTTCCTTCGTCATCCTGCAATGTTACTTCAGGGTTCAGCTGCTGAAAGGAGATCAAGCTTTTTCCTTTTCGTGCCTCAAAAGAGTTGGCTAGAGTTTCTCCCCTTTCGTTCATTGGGATAGCCTTCACGACGACGATACTTTGACTGGACTCTGATGTCGAGTGATCATCCTGGCCTTCTCGCTGCTGTTGGGGCGAGCCAAGATGAAACACAGGCTTGTTGATTCGCTGTAGCTCAATAGATGCGGGCCGATTGTCCATGTCTGCTGCCTGCCAAAAACCCCACTTGACTCGAGTTAAGTTCACGGCCTGTGGACCTGCGTTTTCTTCATAGTGTTTAATTACCTTGGAAGTCCAAGTTATTGGTTCTCCGCGTGGATTAGTAGCTCGCTCATTTTTGTCGTTCTGTTCAATGGACAGCTGGTTGGTGTTCTGTGATCCAAATTCAGCATCAGTGTTACTGTTATTTTTTTCTTGAGTTTCATCTGGATTGTTGAATTGATAGTTTGTTTTTGAATGCTGGGTCTCATTTTCTGAAGTTTCCTTTGGAAGTTTATGCGTTCCGATCAATTGGTGCATAGCTTTACTAATAGGTATGTGGTTTATTGTTTTCTTCAATCCGAAGTAATACTCGTCATCATTTACTGGAGCTTTCACCATGACATCCGTAACAGCTGTTCGGAAATTCATGTCTTCATGTTCAGTAGTATGTTTCATATCTACTTGTTCGTTGCTCGTGGTTTCTATGTTTTCATCCATTACATCATCAATGAAAACTTGTTCTCCTTCTCCCATGCGTCTTGCCATTACCGAAATTCGTAAATTATTATTTTGTTTACTCATATCAATTTGACTGGCCGCTGCGCCTAGTTGATCCGTCTGATCAATGGCTTGAGGTGCAACTTCGATGATTTTGTTGGAGTCTGCCGCAGATGCTTGGAAGTTCGAATGCGACTGCTTCGTACTTTCGATGGGTCTCCATCGATGTAATTTAGGGACTTGCTTTACGGATTTCTTTTGCATGGCCTGAAATTCATCTCGCATTATTTCGTCCGCGGTTACGAAAAGGCTTGGATCTCGAACCTGCTCTCTAGTTTTGCTGCTCAGTCCCGCGTTGGATGCCTTGGGTTTCGGCAAGGATCCCGTCAATGACGAGACTTTTTGGCGGGTTTGATTTGGCTCGAGTCCTTGATCTTCTTGGCTAAAATGTGCTTTCAATTGCATCAAACGTTCACTGAAAAATGATGTTGGAAGTTTTATTTTACCGTCCTCATAATTTGCATTAGCTAGGACGTCGCGTCGAGGTTCCGGCAAAGCGTCTGAATGTTTACCTCTTCGGAAATTTCTCTTCAGCTCACTGTAAGAGCTGATTTCGGGCTGTCCATTCTGAATTTGAGGAATTTGTGGGATCAAACTTGGCCCAGCGTTGTGTCCTACTTGCAGCTTATGATTAGTCAACGCTTCTGGATTGAGGACGTAGTAAAGAGGTGATTTCTCCTCAGTGGTTTGGAATATGATGTCTGGTTGTGAAACACCTTTGTAGTGATCACCGTTTCCCACGTTGCCTCCAGGTACTGTTTGAGGAATTTTGTATTTATTACCTAGCTTGATTGTGTCAAAGTGGCTTGTTAGGTCGGAAGAATAGCCCAGGGGTTCTTTTCTAGCCGGAGACTTGTTTCTGAGTTGGGCGGAGACTCCTAAAAATGGAGATGGGAAACTCAATCCCACTGAAAAGGGCAAGGCTGGTCCCTCATCTTTTAAAGTCGCATAGCTGCGAGATGGCGCCGTGAACCAATCTAGAATACTAAATGAATCGCTTTCTTGCTTGGGTATCTCCTGCCTCGTGGTGTCGGAAGTCGAGTAAGTGTCTCGCTTGGGGGAGTTAGATCTACTGGAAAACAAATACTTGAAGGGGTTGAACATGCTCAGGTCCGGTAATTTGAAGCCGGTTGCACTGTGAGCTGTTGGGCGGTGTTGTCCATGGTATCCTGAGTAGGAAGAAACGTCCTTTCCCCGAGGCAGTTTCGGAGGCACTATCGGCAAATGAGCTAGCACTGTGTTGGGCCACGGCAGTCGTCCTGGCTTTGACGTACCACCAGGCAACTGATACTTGCCTGCCAAAAGAGGTGGTACTCGTTTCGTAGTGGTCGTGGCTTTGGTGGTTGTCGTGGTTGTGGTGGTAACTGATGCTGTTGTGGCTGTTGGTGTTGCTTTGGTTGTGCCGTATGTACTCACGGAGCTTGGCGCCGTCTCTTTGATGAGTATGGAGCCTTCATGAGGGTGGCCGAAACCTATTTGCGATGGAGGTGCGCTGTTGGTAAGCTCATGAACCGGGTTATGATAGCTAACGCTGGAAGTGGAAGAACTTGGAACATAGAGTGCAGATCTCGTCTTGTGAGATTTTTCTTGATTTTCAGGTTGAATAAACGTTGAAGGCGAACTTCCACTAGTAGCGAAAGTTTCAGAAAAAGGGGCGATCTGAAGCGACTGGAAGTTATGGGTAGAAGTTCCTGAGAATAAATTTTGTGGATTCTGTTTGTGGCTGGTCAAGTCTCCCGTTTCTAATCTAAACATCGACTGCAGCGGAACTCCGTCGATAATCGTGTGGACTTGCTCAATATTTTGCGGAATATGAGCGTTCGAGGATTGTGGCTGAGTTGCGAGAGGTAATGCAGGTAGTTCCAGTAACTGAACTGGCGATCGTATAAAAACTGGTTTTTGAGGATCCGCCACGACATTTCCTTGTGACGTTAATGGTGGTCCACGAATATTTACAGATGATCCATCATCGAGCGAGATTGTGGCTGGGCTCCTGGCCCTGTTGATGCTCTCTGGGCTTGTCGATTCCATTATATCTTCTCCTTTTGGCGGTCCGAATTCTATTATGAAATTCCCTGGAGGCAAGTGGTCGAGACTAACTCTATTCAGCCTGACGCTCTGAGTTTGCACGTTGCTTTGAAGCTGTGGTTGCGAGTTGGGGTTGTTGTTCTTCAGCAGATTTTTGAAAGGCCTCACCATTAACCGAAGTGGATTGATGTCTTGGCGCCGTTCTGCTGCGATGATATCGCTCACCACTGGCGTCGACAAGTTACTCAGGAGTATCTTCTTACCGGTGTGCGGAATGATGAGGAAAGGCGTGACAATTTCTTGCATGGAATCATCCTTACTGGGATTGAGATCATTTACTTTATTTCCTGCAAGGTAACTGCCGCTATAAGATGACTGTAAAAATAATGGACTCTGAATTTGAGAAGCTGGTCCTTGCTGATCGTCGGTTTTGTTTCGCTGCCGCGTCGCATCCCTTGGTGGTATGTGCAGAATAGCCACTCGTTTAGAGTTGTCTTGTAAAGCGTTGGTTTGTTGTAACTTTTTGGTGTTGAAGCTCACTATATTAAGATTCACAGGCTTACTTTTTTCTTTTGTATCTACTTGTGATGACCACCATTGAACACTAGGTTTGAAGACATTTGCTAATTTTTTGGCTGTTTTCATAGTATCCGTGTGACTAGTTGCGATTTTGACGCCGTCGCTGACGGACGCGGTCTTGGTTTTGTATCTGAACTGACGGTTTATCTCATCAGACTTATTCTTCATACTCGATGACGGTTGTAATTTGAATTTTTTCTTATCACCGAGTATAGCAAGGGATTCGTTTCTATTATTTTGTTGATTTATTTGACCGTTGAAGCGTCGTCTGAAAATATCGAGTCTGTGAGAAGCTGATTCGCGTAATCGATCAATTGGAGTTGTGTCTTTTCCTCGATTCAGTGTCGAATCTGCCTCACCGGACATCGAAGCGCTGCCAAGATCCAAGGTTCGTCGGATGTTATTAACACTTTGACCAGATTTGTTCTCATCTCTTCCATATCCTGACGCATTTTTGGTCTGAAAAGCAGCGTGGACGCTGGCTGGCTCAACTTCAGAGTCCCATAAAGGCATTTCTCTCGCCAAAATGGCCTTCACGTTACTCAGGACCGTGTTTCGTCCATGTCCTAGGTTTACTCGACTCATCCGGTTAATTATCTCCCTCCAATTCTGACTGGGAGAGAAATCCAACGGTTTCCAGTCAGATTCTGTTTGAAAATTTGTTCCCTGGGTTTGCAATTCAGGCAGAAAAATCAATTCTGACGTCGATGTCGATGAAGTTGCTCGGACTGCCCCGCACATCAGAAAGATTGTGATCAACTCCGTTGCGGTTGCCCTCGCCATCCTGGAATATAGAACAAAATTATAATATTATTATGGTCTGTAATATTGCTGATTAATGTTTTTATATAAGAATCACAATTTTTGTGGATAGTATCACCTATCATTCATTTCGTGCCCCTATTGCGAGTTGATATTTTCTGGTTGCGAAAATTCTTGACCGAACGAGTGCCTGGCTTCAAGCCAAGTTGCCTAAATTGCTCTCTCCATCTCTTCCGATTATGAACAAACGTGAACCTTTTAGCAATGACCTCCCCCCGAACCTTCTTATAACCAATCCAGAACATTCAAATGATAACCTCTCCACGAAACTTCTGATGATAACCAATCCAGAACCTTCTAATGATAACCTCCCTCACTGCCTCACAATGATAACCAATCCAGAACCTTCTAATGATAACCTCCCTCACTGCCTCACAATGATAACCAATCCAGAACCTTCTAATGATAACTTCTCTCACTGCCTCACAATGATAAGCAATCCAGAACCTTCTAATGATAGCCTCCCTCAGTGCCTCACAATGATAACCTACTTCGAATCTTGTAATGGTAATCTTTCACTAACCTTCTGAAGATAACCTTCCCTGGACCTATTCTCGAAGTTGAAGCTAATAAAGCAATAATATGAGGCTGATGACAAGAAGCTAGTTCATCCTGATCGCCAGAAATTAATAACTGTTAATGATAACAAACCTTGGGGTCTCGCATAACTACAGTTCTATATGTACTTTGTTGCTCCCTGTCAAGCTTTTAGTTATCTTTGTTTACACGGCTTTAGTAAATACTTTTGATCAATACTTGTTATTTGTTATAACTCATTATACTGCAGTGAGTGCAATATATTAACCGCCACTTGCTTGACGCATTCGACAGGGCGGCGCGTGTGGCTAACACCGCCAGAAAGCGAGAAAACTCACACAGGAAAAGCCTAACATCATCACGCTAACGAAAGGATTGCGTGCGTCTGGCTGGCATCCTGACGTTAGGGATAAGCGGCAGCAGTTCCGTGCGTCACTGAACGGGAACTTATTTTTCGTGAAGTGAAGGCGGGCTAAAGTTATTTACAAGCTCCGATAGTTCCTTGCGAAACTGAACGGGAACTTATTTTTCGTGAAGTGTGGGCGGGCCAAAGTTATTTACCGTCAGCGATAGTTCAGTGCGTCACTGAGCGGGAACTTATTTTTCGCGATGTGAGGGCGGGCCAAAGTTATTTACCGTCAGCGATANTTACAAACGGCGATAGTTCCTTGCGTCACTGAACGGTAACTTATTTTTCGTGAAGTGTAGGCCGGCTAAAGTTATTAACAAGCGGCGATAGTTCCGTGCGTCACTGAACAGGAACTTATTTTTCATCGTGGTTTGTCTGGTTTGAAGTTATTTTAGTTTCGTAAGACAAGGCATGAAATACACCTGAAAGCTTTTTTCCCAGGAGAAAGTCTATTTTCAGTGCATTTTGCATTTTTTATTATCGTGAGCGCATTCTGTGTGCGTGTAATTCTGCTAATGAGATATTTTATCAAAGTATTAAATCTTTCCCTATTTACGAGGGTCATCCGGAAAGTAGTACCCGTTTTGGAATTGAACAAAAGGAAGTAAATATTAACAAATGTAAACATGTTTATTGAAAAGAACATGTATTACACAACTTCTCTACATAATCTCCGGACAAATTTAGGCATTTGTCCTATCGTGTTACGAGTTTTTGTATACCCGTGTCATATTACTCCGCCACCAGTGTATTGAAATACGCAGTCACGTGTTCTTTCAGTTCATGTCATTTTGAAACTTTGTCCCTGCCACGAAGTCCTTGAGTTTCGTAAACGGATGGAAATCTGAAAGAGCCAAGTCTGGACTGTAGGGTGGATGGTCGAAAATTTCCCACTTGAATTTTTGGAGAAGTTGTGTTATCCGACCCCCTATGCGGCCTGGCATCATCGTGCAGGAGAATGACGCCAGTAGACAACAGACCTCGCCGTCCATTTTGAATTGCCCGCCGTAATTTTTTAATGTTGCACAATATGCATTGGCATTAATTGGGTCTCCAAGGGTCATGAAATCGATGAGCAGTACACCTTGCCGATCCCAGAAACACTGGCGGCGGAGGAATATGACACTGGTATACAAAAACTCGTGACACTATACAACAAATGCTTAAATTTGTTCGGAGATTATGTAGAGAAGTAATAAATATAAACAATAAACATGTTAACGTTTGTTAATATTTTAATATTTACTCCATTTTGTTCAATTCCCAAACGGGTATCGTTAACATAGCATCGCTGCAACTCATCATATACACGCCTGCAATTCATCAGTCTTTGTTGTATTAACATTATAATCACCAGAGAACTACTGCAGTAATGTCTCTCACGCTGCGCACTTTTCTAATCTCACGCCGCACACTTTCTTCCCTCACTGGAGGAGTCATTGTGTTTCATGTGAAGAAAGTCATCTCAAAGCGCGCGTCGTAGCGGATAATCCTATATTTCATCTTCATACTGCTGTCATATTTCATGTTTATATTGCTGTCATATTTCGTCTTCATATTGCTATCATATTTCACTACCTTTTTCTATTTATAATTTTTAGTTAAAGCAAATAATGAATGGCTAATATTTCAGAGATTTTTCTCAGTTTCACAATAACTTAAATTCCCAAATGCTGGTAATTTTGAGTGCATATCCTGAAACAATGCTATTAGAATGTAGAAAGATACGGATCATATTACCATCCACAATCAAAGTACTTTCTCGTTGCATTACGCACACAGTCACACTACATACCGTGCTCACATACGCTCATGCAGAGACCCTCTCTCTCTCTGCTTGATTCCATAATCCGGAAAAGCCGTGTCCCGAGTCCTGCCTTTGTCTTATGTTATTATGATTATTATGAACTGTGGCCTGGCGTGACTGATGAATGCTCTACTCCGATAATATCGCTTCCATTTAAGTCGCCAACTCGCAGTTTACTCTCTCTTTTTGGTGAAGTAGACCTATTCGTAGATTTTTTCCCGCAACGTATCCGTTGTTATTAAATCCGGGTCCATTTTTGGGTCGATTTTTTTCACATAACTGGCGGCCTGTCGGCAACCTAAGTTCCCTTGACAATGTTGGATCTAGACCGAGTGACCGCTAACGGTAATGCTCAAATTGTCTGGTTGAACAAGAGCTTTAGTTGAACCCCGTTATCTCGATGGGAGTATTTCATGCTTAGCGACATAGCGTGCTCTACTGGCAGTACAGTGGACGCTATTGCTCATGCTTATTGAACGTAATGGTCAAGACTCCGTTAGATTCTGTGAGTTCATATAATGCATGCTAGGTTTACTCTCTTGATTGTAGGTTACGGTAAATTTGACTCATAGAATGCGATCATCATATGAGGTACGATCATGAATTAATTATGTAAACTTATATAGAATTTTTGAAAATACATCAACATGAATGAAACGACTGAAAATCGGTCCAACCAAACAGAGACTAACTTGCCGTTACTACCTCAGATTAAATTGATGCAATAAAACACCTTTATATTCTTAATTATAAGTGTGGTGGACAAGAATAGCTCACTCAAATTCACATTTAGCAGAATTCTCAATTAAAACCCGTTTTGAAATTTGAAGGAACTTCTAATTTAATATCTTTTCATTGCAGTTCAAATGCACAACGTTGAAAATTCCTAAAATTACAACTAGCGCTCGATGTGCAAGGATTCGTCATATTTCCAATGAAAATAAGAATTTAGGCCTTGCTTATTTTTCGACTCTATAGATATCGTAGATACGCGTCCGAACAGCGCCTTCCACGTATATTTATGGCGACAGGCGTCAAAAATACACTAGCGCTTCATAAAACACTAAAGCTGGTTAGCCTGCCGTTGCCCTGGCTCAATTCATTTTGCCCTGGCTCATTTTAGTAGCCAGTTATCACAAATCCCGTAAATAATTAAGCTACTTTGTGATAATTGAGGGAAAGATCAGTTCAAACCCACATTTTACATATAACTCTTATTTAAACGCAGAAAATATTGTTATTATTTTCAAATTGAATCTAAATATACCAATTTATAAATCAAGTTAGCATTTTCTATCAAATAATTTCCTCTCGGTTATTATTCTGACTATTCTACCACTGAAAATAAATTTTCAGTTCTAAGCAATATCCCGACACGATAGTTATCCCGGATAATATACAACATATTATTAGAGTTTGATTTCTCACCTGATGTCAGCAGTTCAATCAGGGTTAGTCAGAAGCCAGTTTGATCTGAATTCAGGACCAATTGTTGACGACCGCGCAGACACACTTAACTTCCAGTGTTCGTTTATTAAGTTTTCCCTTTTAATAATGTTCAACTTTTTTCAACTCGTTCATCAGCCCCCGTTCTTTCAACACTTCAAGTTTGAGTCTCAAGACCCTCAGTCTTTGAGTCAAGATGACCCTCAGTCTCTCTATTTAAATAACGCGGTGGTATTATACGAATAACTTCAGCACAGTCTCACGTAAAGTTAGCTCGCACATTTTCGAAGCAACCTTTCTGTTGAAAATAGCAAAAATATCTGTTATCGAAGAGTAAGACGAATATCTGCGAGACCAAATTTGCTACTTATTTTCTTGTGTTGCCATTTCGGGGCAAATATTAGCTTAAAATTCCCAACTGAAACACTTTTTTACAATTTTTCAATTAAGACCATATGTTCCCTGTATGTAATGGAAATACATGCAAATCTCACATAGAATTTGCTTCAAGAAATATAGTAGCAATATATTGAAAAATCCTGACTCTAATAAAAGTTGAAGGCGTAATTGTGATGGTGATTGCATTAATCATTGCAATAATTGCATTGTTAAGGTTAGTTCCCTCTGCTATGTTACCATGGTCAATCAGGATTAATTACTGGTGTTTGTATTTTCCGTTAATTCATAAAGTTATACGTATTTGATGGAAAAAAATTATTTATTAACTTGAATGACTATTTATTTAATATTTATTAACTTGAGGGATTATTTATTTAACATTTATTAACTTGAGTGACGATCGCACATTTTGGAGATCCCAACCCAAAATTAGCCCTTCACTTATATCTTATGCACGTAATGTAACATTCAGTAGTTATATTATCTCGAGCTAACATTCACTGAGGCTCGGCAGATGAACTCAGCGGTATGAGGACTCGCGCTTGACTGTGTGGGAAGCGCTCTCGTCTCTTCCTTAAATAGTTGGCTCTACTAATGGGCTTGAGGCTGTATTGCGTATACGAGATGTGTGCTTGTATGCTGCGTTCGATTTTTAATTGAGTATTAAAGGACCCATTGTTTGATTTATGAAAAATTGTAATTGTAGAGTTGAGTATTATGATATTAATATTATTATTCTTTATAATTAACCTATTGAAGGTTTTTTTTTGAGGGAATGCGGCATATTAAAAAGTCTGCTATTCGACGCTTCTGTTATGTAGATTTCACTGTTATTCTTATGTACTTGCTTGGTACGAGGTACATGATTACACCTTACATTACAATCTTTAAACATGTTCAACACAATTAAAAGATTTTAAGTGTCATCTTGAATGTGTTGAAATTTTTATGTAATTCAAGAATAGATGGATTAAGATCGATGTCTGAAATTAAATTTATCGAATGCATACCGAATGTATGATAAATCCATTTGCTAACTTACAATATCAATGCCGACCAGAAAATGATCCCAACTCGAATTCGTGCTTAAATTTTCTGTTCAGATATAAAAATCACTATAAGTTTGACGGATCACTCTAGCTATATATGAATCTTTCTCAGTTTGTCTTGCTAATTTTATTGACGTTCAATATCCCTTCCCGCGACTGCTTTAATCGATTTTCTGTCGCTTCCGTTGCCGTCGACAAAAATGCCAAATAATATTTTGTTATAACTTATTCGCATTTTGTGTTCTTCATTTCATCAATAATTACGAAACGGTTTTATTTGGGCTACAGAATGCATTAAAATATGATACAAGTAAATTAACATAAATAATCAATAATAATAATAGTAATAATAATAATTAATATATAATAATAATATTAATAATAATAATAATAAATTGTTGAACTGAAAACAAGGAAAATCAATACATCGATGTAGATATATAATAAATAAATGAAAAATTAACTCTCGCTTTCATATTTTGTTGCCAATCGTCTTGAGTACGCTTTTATAATTTCTTTTAGTTAAATAAAAAAACTTGCATTACTTTCTTGTTTATTTTGTTCATCTATGGCAGTGACCTATCAAGCGTACCTTCTCGTAATGTTTGTTTATCTATGACACTAATTGAGAAATTTCGCGTTTGTGGCAGGTTTCGCACCACCCACCCATCATGGCGCAGCACGTTGAGGGCGTGCAGGGCTGGACCAGCTGGCAGGAGTTCTCCATGTCTTCCAAGTTTAGGGGCAAATACCTGCAAATTATTCCTCTAGGAATAGCTCATCTCTCCTTCAAAAATTCCGGTGAGAAACTTGTTTATATGGCGTTACGAAATTTTAATGTATATTTTTTCTGATAAAACGTACTAGTTAATCCCAGTATTGTTCAGATTAATTTAATAATAATTGTAAACTTGTTTATTATTTTATTTATGGAATTATTTACTAGGTTATTTTGCAGTTTATTTGATCATTTATGATGATGATTCAATTAGAAGTGATAACTTTTGTGTTTGTATAGAATTTTTTGTGCAGAATATCTGTTAAGAAATTTCGTTGTACTTAAACTGGTTGCGGTGGTTTCGAAGGCAGAGGAGTGTTGATCACATCAGCTATACATTAAATATATCTAGGATTCTAGAAGTAAACTCGTCTTTATATCGAAGCAAATTATTTAGTACTCGGTACTCAAATAACACGATAATTTTTTTTATCGGTATTTGGGAACTTGTCGCTCTCGATCTAAATTCTAGGAAGACAACATTAAGCTAGGGGAATGTATTTAAAAATATCACGTTCAACGTCGTCGTAACTTTTAGAACAACGTAGAGCCCGATACCGATTATTGCTTGCGCCTTCATGAATGGTAAACAACATTGAACGGCGTCATTACATTTATAGAAATGTATAGAACGATACCCATCAGTCCTTGGGCCTTAACCAATGGTGTAAAACATTCAACGGTGTCTTGACATTTATAAGCACGTAATGCCCGATAACGGTTATTTCTGGGGCCTGCAGCAATGGTGACATTTTTTAACGTTGTCGTAACATTTAACGTAGTTACATTAACTTTCGTAACATTTACCATTGTAACATTTACCGTAGTAACATTTATTGTAATATTTAACGTCGTAATATTTACCGTCTTAACATTTATCGTACTATTTAGGTACCGTCGTAATATTTATCGTCGTAACCATTACCGTCGTATCATTTACCGTCGTAACATTTATCGTCGTGAAATTTACCGTCGTAACATTTACCGTTGTAACATTTATCGCCGTAACATTTACCGTCGTAATATTTATCGTCGTAACAACTATCGTCGTATCATTTACCGTCGTAAAGCCCGGTACCGATTATTCCTTGTACCAGTGGTGAAGGTATATCATCCTCATATCCTTTCTCCTTGCGGTCAGAGGACCGCTTGACTGTCCCTCTTTATGTTCCTGTCATCGGCAATCCACTTAGTGCGATACGAAAGTAAGATGGTGGACGTTGTATTGTCGAGCTGAAATTCTTGCATTGAATACCATTGAATTTCATGTTGCGGTGCACAAAGCTTGTTCAATAAAACCCATGGACTCTTATTTTGTGGCAAGCAAATAAGTAGAGTCCGTGAGCGAGCTTTGTGCCACGTTAGGGAGTTGCTACTGGACCTATTATGTCTATCCTTTGTTCTCTTCTATGTAAATAATGTTATCAAAGGATTGCGATGATTTTTATATAGTTTTTTTTCAGTTTACAATAAGTGATGCTGTCATCTATGTTGATTGGATTATTATTTTAATCAATTAATATATATTGCCATTAAGAAGAGCTTCCGTATGTGAGTTATTCCGCCGCGACGCGTGTCGTGACTGTGAAAGTGAGCAGGCTGTGTTACGGTGATGGTTGCTTGGTTCCTCGCATACTAATGCCTCTTATCTTATTAAATCTTCGTGAGGTTATTCATTTAAGAATTTTATCACCTATTTGTAGATCAGATTGTTGGGAATTCATTCGATACTGCCAAGTTTTTCAGAACTAAAATTTAAATTTTTTAGAGGTTCTTACACAGCGAAGCACAAACATACGTCTATTATATAGCACAAACACACTGATCGCACCATTTTCGACGTTTGAATTTGTTTGCATCACTGCAAATGTGAAACATCCATGTTTCGCTGTTTCAAAATTTTCTGATCTTCATGTCTGACAAAGTTCTAGTTATTCTTTGAAATGACTTAGAAATGCTTGTGAATGAAATGAGACGCCCGTAGATGCTTCACAAAAAGAAATGAATAAGATTTACCCAAATGGCGATATACTTCTTGCCTTTTTTGTGGGTCATCCTTACCCATGTTTTGCTCGACAAGAAATGGCGTATCAGTTCTACGTGTAGGAAGTGCGTCACTATTTGGACAATATGACTCATTAATTTTTCGAGTGTTTGCTACTGGGAAGAGCATCATTAGTGGTCGCGTGACGCGAGCCTCGTATTGTGTGACGTAGCCGTATACTTTCTCTGTATTTTCCTTGGGAGATTATCAAGTGATCATAATCTGGTGTGATACGCTCGGTCTTTCCATGTGTCTTGGCTTCCTTGCTTCGTCTTTATTATCTTGTAGTTGGTCTCGTGTTGTTAGTGTTCATTAGCGCAGTTGTCTTATGTGCTGCTCATACTCATTAATGTTCTCTGATTTGTTGAACATGCTCCTGTCATGTGCCTAAGCTTCTTTGCTTCTTCTTTTCATTATAGTTGGTGTCGTAGACTTCGTGTTGTTCGAGCTCATTATTTATATCTCTTGTGCTGCTCGCTTCTTAATTGTTTTTTGACTTACTGGTTTGTGTATGCCGCTTCGTTTCAATATGTCGGGCGCAGGCAGCATGCACTGTATTCAATATACCGCTTTTTTCTTTTTCTCAATTTTATTTTTTGCCCCATCAGTGTTATTTCTATAAATAAGTCGCATTTTTATTGTCCCTTTTACATTTCCATTTGCGGTCTTTCAATGTTTATTATATTTTTCTTTTTACGTGTAAAACTTCAACGTATTTGCTTAGCTCTATTACGAGGGGGTCCGTGTTCGCTAGACTTAATTTGAATTTTAATCGCAAATTTTGTACTAGGAGCTGCAACCCGATAACAAGTCATTCCTTCAATAGATTAATTTCTTTGTTTTCATTCACGGAGGGACTAATTTTTCACTGAAATTTGATTATTTAATTTTTTACAGTTTTACAAATGTGAGCTCAGGTTATCGCCGCCGCAAAATATGTTTTTACATGTAATGGCAACGGTAATGTTATCCGTCATGCAAAATATATAATATTCAATTCATACTCTCCATGTAATGTCAACGGTGCTATTATCCGCCGTGCAAAATATATTCAATTCATACTCTCCATTGATGGCAATGGTGATGTTCAGTGATTGGTCATTATTCGCTGGTGACAACGACGAGGATTTCGTAGCCTTGTGTAGTAAGTGTTCCGTTGAGTCCTGGTGCCAAAATGCATTCCACTTGTCATTAATACTATAGTGAAATCAATTCTAAGTCGCGAGATATAATACTGTAGACTTTCGCAGTAACTTTTTCGGTATATTTTGGTGACTAATTTAGTTATAGAAGGCGCATTATTCAGAATTGAATGGTTGCAGGTAACCACTACACATGGCGTAAGGTATCAACCACGGTGCACAACATGATCGTGGGCAAGCTGTGGTTGGACAACCACGGTGAAATGGAGATCATCAACCACACCACAGGAGACAAGTGTTGTCTTAAGTTCATACCTTACTCATACTTCTCCAGAGAAATACCTAGAAAGGTTCGTCATAGCTAGTACTTACCCATTATTTGTGTTTCATGGTGGCTTGCTTTTGTATTTCATAATAGCTTGTGTTTACCCATTATTTTCGGGCTTCGATTAATTTGGAATAATGCAACCTGGAGCTGGTAATTTTCTCTGATTACATTAGAAGTACGAGTCACGTTCCAGTAATTACAATTGTCTCTTCTTCAGTGCCAGGATATATGTATGTAGGCGCAGCTGTTAGGCGGAATTCTAGGAATGCTGGTTCTTTTATTCAAGATCAAACCAGTCTGGCAACTTGATCACTTCCTAAATATTAGCTAAATATGAAAGCAAAATCTAGTACCTATCGAATTTTAAGATCCAATATGACATGTGCAGTTGTGCCCCTATTGAATTTCACCTAGGGCATAGGTAACAGACGTACGTAGCTCAATAACCGCTTAAAAAGGCTTACTTAATCTAGGTTATCTTAGTATGTTTTTACATCATTAGTTTAGTTACTGATACAATACATTTGGTGCCATGCACGGAATGTTCTTTTATAAGAATAACTTTCATTCGCGCCTAACTAGTAGTCGCTTTTCAACAAACCTTGACTGCACACTACAAATCTATCATAATCCAGTACTCTGGGTCACTACTCACTTCTACTAACGATTTTCCATATTAAACATAACGATTGTCATATTAATCTAATTTCGCACACAAATGAATTCGATTTAAACAATAATTTTTAACAAATAGAAATTTATTAACTCATATTGCCTGAACCATGTAATGGAACGATAGCCAATTTTAGTCATGGCTAAATATCGCACGCGAACGACGGCAATCTGATCAATAATTACCAAGAAATATAATTTTTAACTTATATATTCTTCGTGTAGAATACGTAAGCGTCAAGAAATGTAATTTATGAACTTATATATGATTATTTTTCGTGTAGGTTACGTAAGCGTCAAGAAATGTAATATATTAACTTGTACATGATTTATTCTTCGTGTAGGTTACGTAAGCGTCAAGAAATGCAATTTATGAACTTATATATGATTATTTTTCGTGTAGGTTACGTAAGCGTCAAGAAATGTAATATATTAACTTGTATATGATTAATGCAGGTTACGGGCTATGTGGTGAACCGCGAGGGCGAGTTCAAGTGGTTCCTCACAGGCACGTGGGACGACCAGATGGAGGCGTGCAGGGTGGTCAGTGAGAGCACCGTCAGGAACGGCAAGCCCGTCTACGAGACGGACTCATTCGATTATTTGCTATCACTTGTGGATCACATCAGAATGCTATGTCAATTTCTCACCACCCCCCCACAGATCACCCGCTCTGGCGACTATATTGCGGCTATTGTATCTACAATACCTGTGCATAATATTGTAGGTGCAATGTAACACATGCACATAATATTGTAGCTCTTTCTATTGTAGGTACAATAAAAGTTACACACTAAATAATATTGTAGCTCCAATACAATACTTCACAAATTACATGGCTCTTGCTGCGCTCCATATCCGTTCCAATCCGCACCCAGAGTGCGAGAAGTGGGTACAACGTCTTCACGAAATTTGCGTGTCAGCTGAACGAATCTGGTACATAGATAATACTGTAACTCTTGTTACAATATTATTGCGCTGTGTACAATAATATAGATTATAGATCCTTCTACAATACAGCTTTTACAACAATAGCTGTCTTTACCCGCAGTCCTGAGGGCGAGAAATGCTACAACTTCACGGAGCTCGCGTGTCAGATGAACGAGACATGTACATATATAGGTAGTATTTTTACTCATGCTACAATATTACTGCTCTTTATATAATATCAAAATTCTTGCTGCAATATTATAGCACTTACGACAAAAAACTTTCTACACCCGCAGCCCCGAGTGCGAGAAGTACTACAACTTCACAGAGCTGGCGTGTCAGCTGAACGAGGCTGAGCCCGAAATGTCTATAATATTGTAACTCATGCTACAATATTATTGCTCTTTATGCAATATTAAAATTCTTCCTGCAATATTATAGCACTTACGACAAAAAACTTTCTACACCCGCAGCCCCGAGTGCGAGAAGTACTACAACTTCACGGAGCTGGCGTGTCAGCTGAACGAGGCTGAGGAAGACGTCGCACCCACGGACTCCAGGCACCGGCCCGACCAGCGGCTCATGGAGAACGGACTTTGGGACGAGGCTAACACTGAGAAAGTCAGGCTCGAGGAGAAGCAGCGAGCCGTGCGCCGACACAGAGAGAACGAAGCGGCCCTCGCGGCAGAGAGAGGTGCCCTGGATACTACTAGAGCCCATTACTATTTTTCGTATTAAAATCCCTATACTGTTTGTTGTATCTAAGTCCTCATGACATTTGTTGTATTAACGTATGTGTCTGTGAGTAGATGATGCTTTAAAGAGTATGACGCTACGCGTCGTGGGGGAGAGGGAAACTTTTCATGCGGCCCAATGAGGTGCCCGGGCTTATATACGAGGCTCATTCTTTTCCGTGCGGCTCTAAGTTTTCCTGAGCAAAATTTTATTTCATTAATTGCTGACTTCAATTATATGCCTATTGTCATATCCATCTCAATTCATGCAAGAGATTGCACCGAAGTTTGTTATGGTTTGTTTGGTTCGTTGATTCAAATTATTTTATCATCACATTTGTAGGATTGTCGTGATCTATACCGCTGCCGAAGAATGTAGCGGCATAATTTCAAGTGAATTCTTTACATGGGACGTGGCTATATTTGCTAGGCTGCTAATATCCATGAGTGCAAGCTCCATCCGATCGCCAACGTTTATTTAAATGCTTGTGTAAGATCAGTTGGAGTTACCGAGTGAAATTTATGTGAGATTTCACTTATGAGTACCTGGCATGTACTAGAAAGTTCTTAATTTTAAAGCGAGTGGAAGAAATGTACTTGAGATTTCACTTTTGATTATTCCGACGTTCATTAAAATTCTTTTAATTTCAGGAGAGGAGTACCCTTCGTACGAGGCGACGTGGTTCCAGAAGACCAGCGACGAGCTGACCAAAGGCATCATGTACACCTACAAAGGCGGATATTGGGAGGCCAAAGAGAAGCAAGATTGGTCAGCATGTCCGGACATATTTTAGAACGCTTGTCCATGACTTAGGCATCGAAACAACAAATATCTTGTGTTCCACTTAATTATGTGTGTACGGCCTCCAGGTAGGAATCTTCAAAAGCATCTTCTATTAGAAACTTATAGCAATCCTTCATTCTCAGACTATTAAGCATTAAGGGCTTTTGATATTTGGGGTTCTTCTTCTCATAAGACATTATCTGAGCTAACATTTTTCTTTTTTAGTATCATCTCAAAGAACTATAAGGAAATTCGATGACAGTCGGGAAAAGATGTCTTGTAGTAACTGCTGTGCAGAATGAACTTGTGTCGCTATGGGGTTGGGCTAACCGCGTGAAATTTATTGAATCGTAATAGCATCACCGGTCGTTTTCAAGCGCAGAAGTGTTTTAATAGAATTAAATTCGTGTTCAGTTTGTGGTTGGGTATCATTAGGAAAGTAAATGTTTTCTATAAGCGGTATTTGTATTGAATTTGAGTGCTGCGCTAGCGAGAGGGATTCTTAATTCAGAATTTGGTTTAATGATCGTAAATTCTTCTATGTTTAGGTTTCAAGCCTGTTCTTTGTAGGCACAGTTCTAAATGAAGAATGCGGTGCACTGATTGAGTAGGAGCTAGAGAACATTTTGGTTAGCGGGAATTTAATTTTGATTCTCCGAAAAGATTTATTTGCTCGTGAAAAGCTCACACGGTTTAAAGCCGCCGATGTATCTTCATCTTGTATCACACTCATCTTCTTTCAATGAGTTCAGTGCCTCAATGTTTGGTGTGTGTGATGGCGTCATTTCTCTGCCAATCTTCATTGCAGTTCCAGTTGAACAGAACGAAACATTTTCAAAGAACTCTATGTAAATTTTCATTGCTGAAATCGTGTATAAATGATTAAAATTTTCACAGACCCGTTGCAATTTTATCGTCTTGCATAAGTTATTCTTTCGGCAATATTTCCGAGTTCATGTAACTTGATGAAATTTACATATTCCATGAAATTCATGCGGTGCTTTGTGTATAAGAAGCACTGCATGTTTCTACCTCCGAACGCGCCCAAAGTTTTCTATTGAAAACGTTTTGTTTTATACTAAGTCGTTCTTGGAGGACTAAGAAGCAATTTTTTGGAACCTTTATTTATAATTGATTTCTTATGACTGCCCTTTCATACTTCTCTAATGTTTCGCATTATTTGTATTGGGACTAGAATTAATTTATATATGGACTGTAGATATAATATTGTCTTGCACTTGGGCTTCAGGAACACGATGATATATGCCGAAGTATTTAATGATCACTTTAAAAGAATTAAAAGAATCTATGTTATGATCCCGGTATTTCAGCGAGGTTATTATCTTCATAAGCGTTTATCTTTAGGAAATAAATCTGCACAGATTTACTTCTGGTTGAAGTCTGATCTTGTGATGTCAGATGTTGATGTGGTAGGAGCTTTATATGTTACCTAAAGTATATATTTTTACTTGGGCAAATTAGAGATAATAAGTTTTCCGGGCATATCTGCTTCAAGTTCATTAGTAATTTAGCATCTTCGGTTAGACGTTACTTCTTTAGATAGATATTTACCTGTCACTATGCCTTCTATTTGCTAGTACTTTACTTACCTGCTTGAGTTGCATAAAATGGACAAAGTTTTCTCAGGCAGATAATCTGTTCAAATCGGTATAGTGTTTCTGGCTAATCGAGCGAAATTTGTTATTGCTGCATCTCTCGTACTGCACAGCAGCCGCTCGGCTGAGGGTAAACAAATGCCTTTACAGAACCAGCTCGACTTCAATAATAAAAGTGCATTTTATTTTGAACACACAAGTATTGTTTTAAATTGTTACTAGAGTCATGGCGATATCAACGACGATGCATTTTTCATCAAGTTTTCAAGCTCAAAGTCGATCAAGCAATGCTTAACTACAGGTCTTATCGGTTCCTTCATTTCCTCAAGCCTTTTGACCTTGTCTCTTGAATGGTCTTTTTTCCCTCTGTTTTCCTCCAAATACATTTGGCATCTCTTTCTTGCCTGCCTAATCATAATAGCATCTAAAGTTGAATAAAAATGTAAGTATTTCACTATCGTCCGCCTTCTTTATCATTTTGTCATGCGTCCGACGTTTGGGTCGACGCAAATACGCGTGCAATTGTAATACAAGAAAGGCATTATGTTTGTTGAAGACTCGTCTCTTAGCACATGCTTCTTATTTACGAAAATAGCTCATATTAAGAAAAATCACTTATATTAATAGATATATATAATTCGTCAAATTGTAATAAACTTTCATTTTTGCTACGCTGTAATTTCTTCTTCTTAATTTCGAAGGGCACTGTTGCATCTTCTCTTAGATATTATATTGGAATTACAGGTAGCATTTATGTATCTCCAATTATTTGGACTTTATTGTTTATCGTTAATGAAGTCGCACTGTTTTATTACAAACTAGTTCTACTGAGTTGCTGCTAATTTTATATTCATCAATTCGTTTTTCATTAAGGAATTGATGTGCGTCGATATTGGGGCCTAGGCTGATTTCGGTGTTCACTAGTTTTGAATCACTTTTTAAAGTTAATAATAATTTGAGGTTGAGATAACATGTAATTGTTAACTGCTGTTCAAAAGGCGTCATACCCGATGGTTGAGTCAACTTCTGCGTGCGATGCGGACAAGATCGTCCCCGTCGCTGAACCAGTGTACCATCAGTTGGCTGGAAAGAACAAGTACATACAAATTTAAAAGAAATTCATAAGCAAAAAGTAATTTGAGTCTTGTTGTTGCAGTAGAAAGGTTCCAAGCACATCAGTTTATTGTAATATGATGACGTTCACTGTTAAACGCTTGATATTGATAACGTCATTGTCGTACATTATGTACGTAGATAGATACGCAGCACTAGTGTTAAGGGAGGATTCGAAGTGGAAATGTTCTTGCACTGTTTAAGAAAACACTTTATACAAATGACGTAAAATAAAAATATTTATTCCCAGTTTTAACTAGAAACCGAACTTTTACTATAGTTATTGATTTAATTATTGTGAGTTTATGCGTGTACATTTTTTTTTTCTTTATCAACTAGAGTACAATTACATTGCTTTTACATTGAGCTTTCCATGATAAAAGCGTAACTAATTTGTCATCTTTAGAAAACTATAAGTTGGTATATAATATACTATATTATGTTTATAATTTAAATGTTCTCATCTACGGACCGAACCACTAGGGAGAAAGCCGGCCGTCCTCGCCTAATATCATTTGATGGAATTATTGTTCTTGAATTATTTTCTGAATTCATTAACTGTAGGATTGACATTTCCATATCAGGAACCAATTCCTGAAAGCATTTTTATTTAGTTTGTCATCATTCTTTTTTTTTTAATATTGTTTCAAGACAATTCCGCACTAATTCAGCTCCATTTTTGTAACCATTTCTTCGTGATAGTTTGCCGAGTTTGTTCTTGTTGACTTCATACTACATAACTTTTTTATTCGAAAAAATAAATTGCTTTTTGTCTGTAATGCGCCCGATGGTGTATATTTGAACTAGTTTACCGATAAACGGATAATGGATTCACTAATAATTACATAATATTTCTACTGTTGGCATGGTTTCAAATTTCAGTCTCTTACTCTTTCAATTACAAATTTAATTATTACTGGTCTGATTGATGATTGAGCTAAATGATCACTTATCATTTAAGCAACCGTTCTCGAGCTGAATGATCACTTGTCATTGGTCTCAACGTTCCTGAACTGAATGATTACATATCATTCGTCTCAACGTGATAGAGCTGAATGATCACGTGTCATTCATCTTAACGTTGCTGATGTAATGATTGATATCTCATTCATGCCAAAGCTCATTAGATCGTCTGACATTTGACTAGCGAGAGGCCCAAGTTCTTAGCGAGAGGTCATGCTAGTTACTTATGTTGTTCTCTTCCCAAGTTCAATTCTTTGGTAGAGCTAGAAAAAGGCCATTTTCAATATTTAATGTATAATGTTAATGTTAAGTTAGTTAATTATTCTGGATAGTTCCATCTTTGTAGGCTCAAAATTATAATTTTGTAGGTTTTAAATCAGTCTAATTTCATTATTGTTGTGTAGGTCTTTGTTTGGTACACTTTTTTTTTATTATTGTACAGGTCTTCGATCGGTATTATATCGGCTCCACAGCCTTCAGGCAGACCAGTGGCGTATTGTCTAATTGATGAATATGAATTTTTGCGTGGCGATATTGATTAAACTTTATACTTCACTAATTTTTTTCGTCATTTTTTCGAGGAAATATGATCGTCTATGAGGAATATTTTGAAGATCTATATGAGAAATCTTCATATTTCATATCTTGATACTGTGTAACGAATATCTTTCCAGTCTACATTTTATTCTATACATGCAAGTAATCACGCGTTATAATGCAAATTAACGTACCTACGTGGCTTTCTTGATGCATGCCCAGGAAAATTAGGAAACTGTCCAAATAGCGATGCAGTTTTGCCCTAATGCGGGAAATATTTATCCAGTTTGTCCCGGTAAAGAGGCGCATCAGAGGTACGCGCAGATTGTGTCACTATGTGGATAATATCGTCCATTCATTTTTCTAAGTGCATCTACTAAATTCCGGGTCTGGGTCGTGGTATCGTTGCTTCTGTTCATTTATTGTTCATTTACATTCAATTCCTCAGAAACCTATTTCAGAGAAATGTGTGAGACTTTGTCTTAATAGCGATACTTTTTACCTCTATGTGAGTCATCTTGGCCCAGTATGGCCAGGTGCGTATATACTGTGTATCAGAGCTACGTGTCAAAAGTATGCCACTATTTGGACGATTAGACCCATGCATTTTTGTGAGTGCTACGACGAAACAGCCGCCTAGGTAGGGGCTGTTGTCTTTCTCCCCGATTCTATTTATGGTGAATAAATGTACTTATTTATGAATGAAGTGCAGCTCAATTAACCCATTGAGGCATAACTCAATATCCTCACTTATGGAACTGTAACCTATCCATCTAATTTTCCTCGTCTTCTTATTGCATTGTTCTTTTGTACATAAACCTTTAATTTTGTTTGCGCCTTCTCACAATTATTTCCCCACGAATAACTGCGTCGACCAAGTAAGGTGAATAATTTTGCTTCTATGAAGCTGGTGCCTATGAACGAATGGACATAAATGGAGCAACGCTAACGTTCGTGTGCGTCAACGAACGTTTACGTCAACATTCGTGTACATGCCATCAAGAATATTCCTTTGTATGATATACTAATACTTATAAAGCTTTTGTGTGTGTCGTGATACATCCGCGTCTCGTATGTATTATCTATCTTTGTCTTGCTATGACAATATGAAGTGTATATAAAGTTATTATTGATCTTAGGATTTGGGCAATTGCAAGAATGTCAGGAATGTTATTCCGTGAATCTTTTTACTGCGATGTTTAATTGATTTTGTGATATAGCAATAAACGTGTATGATCTTCATATAGTTATTTGCTCAATTGAACCTATAAATTTGGTGGCAAGAAGTGATTCCGCGATAACGGATATTAAGATGGTAATAAAATAATTTACATGCACACCCATTTCAATGATTGAGAATTTGTTGCTGATAAAATAATGATCAGGAATTATGTTGCTATTACTCGACTAACGTCCTCATTGTGTAAAGCCGACCTTACGTTGAGCTTTGGTTGAATGCGCAACATTGTTGCGGTTCCCGCGTGTCTAATCTTGTCCCGTACGGAGCGATGCTATTTTATCTCAGTCATAATGAAACAAATCAATACGAGTTCGCATTTAGGTTGGAAATCACTCACTTAAATACTGATCTAATTTATATTTTTTCATGAAAGAAAACCTACGGGCGGAAGTTGAATTCATATTGAAGCTCCCACGGTTCCAATAGAAACTGTCGCTTGCGATTGTTGCATACGCGACAGGAGTGAAAACAATCAACAGAGGCCGTACCTACTATTGCCCCTCGCTCTAGTTCACATAACGGTCGGTGTCTCGTCTGTGATTGGTTGGTTTTGTTCGAAAAGCCGTCACTGATTGGCTATCGAAGTAACGAACTCGTAACTATTTTTGATAGCACGACCTGAGGACTTGGACGTTACTCCAGTTGGTGGGCATCAAGACGCGCTTCTATTGGCACACGAGCTGTGCAAGACCGCCAAGTCAGACGTCAGCACCTGGCATCATCAGATTAAAACACTTGACGAGGCTCGATTGGATTGCATTCACTCGCGGCCATTCCTGAATTATCGAGAAACGAAGCGCCTTTACCTTGTGAGGTGCTCGAGAATCGCGTCTGCCGATCCTGAGGACCACGTATAGTGGCAGGATGGCAAGCACTACACGCGAGCACGGAATATGTCGAGAGCAGCGCACTACAGACGTGGTCTGGAAAATCTGTTATCGGCGCCAATTCTGTTCACATGGAGATGTTCCAGCATCTTGGTCGAATTTGAAACTTCCAGGTGAGATTTAGTGCAGTTGAAAGCAGTATATAGATGGTAATTACTGGTTTAGATGGATAAAATGACGTCAGGATTTAATTGAACCGATCATGGAGGTCATCTCAAAACTTTCTGCCCTTTATTGAAAACGTTCGATATTAAAGAACGAATACGGATGAGAGAATGAATCTTACGGCGGCCTTTACACGAGTTGCAAATGCCTTCAGATGAAATTATCATCCCTCTAAAATTTGAGGTTGTTCTTGAATTTCTAAAATTTGATGTTGTTCTTGAATTTAACACCCAATTTGTCCCATTTTGAGCATCTTCGTTGAAGCTGGCAAATAAAAAAACAACTTTAAAGCATCTCACTGCGATTAAAAAGTGATATGAGTGAACATAACGGAAAAAAGTACTCGTTCAAGGGTTTGGTTACACGGCATGTTGGCTTGCCGTACAGAAGAGACAGAGAAGCGAAATTAAAGAAAGCTGCTTGTAGGAAACTTAACCCCACAACTGAGCCCCGTAGTCAGACTATTGATTCGACAACTAATATAAATTCATGGTAGGTTCCATGTCCCCAAAAGCAAGTAGTGAAAATGTTTAAAAAAATTCAGCATTTGATGCACAATGCTCGATCGTTTAATATGTTATGCTTTTAAACTTTGTATCGTTCATTGCTAGACATAACTTTGTTCAGTGATGAGCGAAATTGCGTCACAGGTTAGAAATTTTATCCTTAGGTCTATCCTGCTGTGAAAACTACACTTCTTAAGTGTCCGAGAATTCAATTTAGGTACAATTTTATTCAATAATAATTCACTACAATCTTTGGATATGTAGTCAAACCTATACACACATATGTTAACATTAATATGTTTACCAACACCAATTAACCGCCAATAATGCCTAAAAAATATAACTCAGTACTCACTGCGGTGAGTGACAGAGTGCGCTTTTTCTCGTCGACGAAAACGTGAAGTCACGGACGGACAGACAGACGAACGGACAGATATGGCGATCGAGCACAATAGCGCCTTTTTCCCATAAATGAGAAAATGCGCTAAAAGTGTCATCATCGAAAGTACTAAACATGAATCAAAATGTTCCAACGACTGAGTCGTTTAACACATTCCCCGCGTATTGTGCCATATGTGTACCAACAATGATTTTCCATTGCTGTGTATTGGGACACCAGTGTACCAAACGCCGTATTTTACGCAGTTTCGATAAAACACATGTAACTCGAAATTTCGTTTTATAATATTTGTGTTCACACGAAAGGTTGATTGCAAAAATTGTGAAATCCGGAAACTTAACGTGTTGATAGTAAATACAATTAAATAAAATTTATATTATTATACAATTAAACGAAACAAAAACTTAAAACATGAAACGGCTGAAGAGACAGTGTCAAATTCCTCAACTTCAAACGATATGCGAATAAACTTTGAACATTCAACAAATTTGAGTACATTCTTACGGTTTTGAACTACGCCCGTATGATTATTTCGTCGGTATAAGAGTTGTAAACCAACGAAATTGCATTTGAGACGCGACTCTTTCTTTCTATTACTTGGTCACCTTCAGATTTGAGACGTGCCTAACTCTTTGACTTTCACCGCCATGGATTCGAGATGTTAAGCATAATAGTTATCGACTAATGGTTGATATTCTATATTCCACCTTTCCATAAAGCATAAAAGTTTTTTCATAAATACCATGCACATGAAAGGCTCATATAAATATTCATCGGCATTCAGAAGGAAATGAAAGGGTTATATTGTCCAAATAATCGCACACTACCTGCTTGTAGCACTGAAACGTCCTTTTGCCGGACTAAACTGGGCGAGGATAGCCCTCTCAAGGGCAAAAAGTGCATCGTTATTTGAACAAAATCCTTCAATTTTTTTTAGTGTGCCACGACCACCGGGTGTGCGTGTGAGACGGCGGTAAAAATGCAAATTAGGCTGGTCGTCTACCGGCCTGTGGCCAGCATCAACTCATGCTTAATGCTAGTGTATGAAGTCTATCATTTGGTAATTAATCAGTTTATTTAACTACATAAGGCCATTTTGAAATTAAGGAAGCAGTTTTACCCAGTTTAGGGAAAGTTTTTGGTCGAGGTCGAGTTTGGTTTTGGTCAAGTTTGGTCACAACTCTCCTCAGTTGTAAGTGAAGAAAATTTAAATTTGTGGCATGAAGAAGAAATTCAAATGGTGGTACTTTTGAAAAATACTCTTCATTATTGATAACCTATACCAACAAACGTTCCTAAAGTTCAACTATATACACTTGAACATTATTTGTGAAAACACAATCGTACAACTTATGATTTTGAGGTCATACGATCCACGACACGATCGAATCAATATGGCGAACATTTTCTTCGCTCCCTTGCTCTGGATCACAGCGTTAAGCGTATATCTTTTTGATTCATTCGTAGCTTTCCGCCTTCACATCAACGGTCAACTGAAGCGAAAAGTTGATTGATATCAGTGAGCTGAAGACCTGTGGTCCTGAAAGATATTGCTTCCTGTTGAGCTTCTTATCAGCTCCTAAAGCCTCAGTCTCTCCTTCTATCTTCGAGCTCTAGCAGACGAAACAAAAAAATCCACGACATTCGATCGTTGGCACAACATCGGCGGATTTCCCGCTAGTATCGGGAAGTCATTTGTATTGGAAGAGACATATCTTGATTATTTATAGGCTTGGAGCTTGAAGACCACTGATAATTCCGCGAGAGAGTGATGCCATCCGATGGGATCTTTTGTCCAAGACCTTTTGTGTTGGGGAGGGTTTTGGGTGTCCCTGTAGCTTCCATAGATTTTTTCTTGACATTTGAAATGGGGTTTCATGAAAGATGTCTCAAATATGTCGCAATTTTTTAGTCATGTTATGTTTCTCCTCCAAAAGGATGATTCTATGAGCGTCAAGTTTTCCGATAATATGCGAACATGAGAAATGCATCAGAAATTCGATATCGAACCATTTTATTCTCATTGGAATTTATCTGCCCGTTTTTATGCTTGCCTCGGTTAGTACAGATCGACCATAATTATATTTGCAATAATCTTGCGCAATTTAGCTAACACGAATAAGGGAATGAAATTGCTCATAAATTTGAATCAAGAACATAAGTCCTGCTAGGCAAATGATGTTGAAATAAAGTCGATAATAAGACGATAATACGAAAAAAGCGTTCAATCACCGTTATTTCAACGTCGGATGCCTAGTGAGTTATGGAGTTTTTCAGCATGTCTAGTTCTCTTCATCTGACTTGTTGCGATGCTTTACAAATGGAAAATGGAAGCGCTGCTCAAAATACACAGTGATACGAATCTCACTGAAGTACGAGGTCATCACGAGCTCTATAGCATGTAATGCTGATCCCGTATCTAAACTTGATTCGGATGCAGCGACCAACAGCGATTTCCCGACCATATCGCTTCTCACTAATAGCTATTTAGGCAGGTCAGTCGATCCCTTATCAAAATACAATACAGATACATTAACCATAGACGATACAGGACCGTATCGTTGCCCACTGATAGCTATTAGGACAGACTCATTGTAGTGTACCTATATAGAACACAAGCGGCTTATTCAAGATCCCATACAAACCCAATTTTCTCGCGTATGTTATTAGATAGAAATTAATTTTGATGCGGGCTCCCCGCTTCGAATTATCTAACTGAAAAAAAAAACCTTCATGTCACGCCTGGGAAACGAGTCAAGTTACTCAAGTACCACCAAAAATCACTGGCACTACACCAACATCACAAAAAAAATATATTCCAAGTAAATTTGGATTAAAAATTTAACTCTAATGCTCCTCGATCAAAACAAACGCATGAAGAAGACGTTCACTTCAATAATGGATTTCTGGTTTGATACTTAGTATCACTATTCTAGACTTTGAAGTGAATGGTATAAGGTCTCCTGAGACCGCGCACATGAAACACGTGCAGGTGAATAAAGCCCGTGGGGACTGACTTAACTCACTATTCTAGACTATAAAGT